CATATATGACAGACATGAAAGTAGAAAAACAGGTCCGGGTTACATGTAGCAAGATCTCACCTGAGATCACCTTTGACTCGGTGTCACTCTTGTTATTTATAGTGTAAAAAGACATGGGTGAGATAACATTCTTCAAGGCGGTCACGAAATAGCAGGAGACCTAGTGGCCCGGATCTACATCTGGAGACACCTGTATGGGTCAGAGGACTAGAACGACTCTGAGACTAGCTCATCGGATAAGTTAACGATACAGGACATTATCCTTGAAGCGTTAACATGCGAGATTAAGCATCAAGCCGATTGGAAGTCTATTGTGCGAGAGAAGAGTTCAGTACGTATACGAGCGAGGAAGCCCGGTAAGGCACTGTCAAGTGCGGTCTTTCTTATGACATATCATCGCTTAACTGTTAATCCGTTTTGTACGGTAAAACATTATGTATAGCCTTAAGAATTTTGTATTCGTATAGCCGGTATAACCGTCCTGGGTGTAACCAGCTTTGTTGCGACATTTGTCCACTCAAGGACGACCGGTACCAAACGACCTTTGTGTCGGTGCCCAAGTCATCGACCTTACGATCGAATCGAAGATCTCATAGCTCCGTGAAATATCTAGAGTTTTTCTATCGAATTCTTATTCATGTTCGTTTTTTTTAATTTCTCACTGATACAACTTTGTCTTTGCCTTTACCCTCCAGCTCCCATAAGGCAACAGGCATGTGTATGGCAGGAAAAATTCAGCCTAGACAGGATATGAGATAACCTTTTCTGGAACCTTTTGGGCCAGTGATTTCCTGTCAGTTTAAAAGTAAAAGCACAGAAATACAAACACACACGCACCAAAATGTCCAAAGTGCGATCCGCTGACAGACCTCCAGACGGCGGGTGGGGTTGGGTAGTGGTGGCCAGCACGTTCTTTGTCAACATGCTGGTGATCGGGAACATGAAGTCTTTCGGAGTGTTCTTCGCAGAGTTCCGGGAGGTTTTCCAGGAGAGTGCCGGAATCACGTCCTTCATCAGTTCTATCCTAGGAGCTGTGCTGTTGATGTGTTGTGAGTATACATCATACACTGGTGATGCATTGAAGCTTGATGATTGAAGCTTGATCGACCCCCTGACGAGGAATAATAACGATTCGTTAAAAGTTTTGAAAATAATTCAACGCTACTAATAATAAGATTTTGATGCTTTTTTGATGGAAGGACATCCAAACAAAAGTGAAGACCAAACGGTAGTCGACCCTTAAGATTAAGGGTTACATGACTATAAGCCACTCTACTCGGCTTTGATAGACGCTAATGCACAATCTTTGCCAGGTAAGTATGCCTGACCATCATGCGCAATCTTACAGCTGTGTTTGCCGGTGCTCTGAGCAACCTGACCAGCTGCCGTACTGTGATCATCGCAGGGGGCGTCATTTCTGCCGTGGGGCTTGTCGTCAGCTTCTTCGCGCAGACGATGATACACTTGTTCTTTAGCGTGGGGGTTCTCACAGGTAAGTGTTTGTCTGCCTCGGTGTGTTTTTCGATAATTATGAAATGCTCATATATCCCGACAAACATATGGAGGTTTGCAAAAAGGTCCGAGGAAAGATTTCATTTGAGTAAAGAATTCCTTACTGCTACATCTGGTTCATCCATGCCTAAGGTTAACAAGTTTTATCGTTAAGTTTTATCTATAATTACATTCTTCAGGATTTGGGTTGTCCCTGATGTTCTCACCAAGTCTGGCTATGATTGGACGCTATTTTGACAAGCGGCACGCCACAGCCAATGGGATCGGAGTTTGTGGAACGGGGATCGGCATCTTCGCTTTTCCTCCTCTCTATCAGTTCCTCATCGACGAATTCGGGTGGAGAGGGGCTTTACTAATTGTGGCCGGCATACCATTGAACGGCTGCGTCTGTGGTGCCCTAATGAGACCCATACATCTCAAAGAGGATCGCAAGGAAGAAAAAGTCGACATCGAACCCCAGGGTAGTACTGATCAAGAACCAAAGAAAAGGATTTTTCATTTCTATGAGAAAGTCGTGGAAGCGTTCGACGTGACCTTACTGAAACACCGTCCTTTTCTTGTTTACTGTGTGTCGTTATTTGGAACCTCGCTGGGCAACTCCATGATTTTTGTGCACCTTGTAGCCCATGCTCAACACGTTGGAGTGGAGAAGACGCCAGCCGCTTTTCTACTGTCAATCTTGGGAATCTCAGAGGCGGTGTCAAGGCCCTTACACGGGTGGCTGTCGGACAGGGTACACATCAGTAAGCTCTACTATTACATGATTGGCAATACCGGACTGGCCATACTTAACATCGCCATACCGTTCGGGAGAACCTACACGGGCCTTGTGGTGTGCATGGTGTTGTACGGATTTTTCTCGGGCACCTTCAACGCGCTCATAGCTGTAATGGTGAAGACATACAGCAGCGTTTCCAGGATTTCCAGTGGTCTTGGGTGGGCGCTTGTCTTCGAGGGGGCCGCCTACCTACTCGGGCCACCTATTGCAGGTACGCACAGGGTTATCACTTGTCTATTTCTCTTCATTTACACTCCTAAATGGTCAGTTACAGAAAAAGTAACGTTATACGCCTTTAGTAAAATAGTATTGCCCCATAGGCGTGTTAAGTAGTAAGGGACTTGCTAAAGCCGACCGCCTATCCAACGCGTCCGGCACTATTGGGGACCACACATGGTCCAATCTCTGCCTATGGCGCCAGCGACATTTTCAGACGTGTGACAGAAAACGTTTTTTGACGATAACTAGCGAGAAATATTGAGAAATAGGTTAGTTTGCCATTAATTTCCACAATAGACAGTATTTGCGCAATGGCACCAGCTGGGTCATATTGGATCAATGGGTATATTACGGGTTTCTTTTTCTTTGTCTTGACCCGTCGACGGGCTTTTTTGGTTCTTAAGAAGACCATGTTTCCTCGGTCCATGGGTGGTCGAAAGTTTGACTGTATATAGAACACAATCAATGACTCAAGGTCTACTATTTTGCCGTTTACCCACTGCCAGGTTGGCTCTATGACGCAACAGGCAACTACGACATGTCTTTCTACGCGGCTGGTATCTTCATCTTCCTGTCTGCGGTCGTGCTTTTCGTCATTCCCTGTTCAACAACAAGAGGGTCATCCTCTCTTAGTTCTGACACCAGTGAGCCCAATCAGGACGGAATCAAGATAGTCGCATTCAGAAATCTGGGTACAGAAACTGGTAGGAGTGACTCATCAGGCCAAAGCAACCCTGGTTTTCAGGGATGATGGGTATATACTATATACTAGTAGGTTACATATGGGTGTAACCTACTAGTGCAGGCTAGCCCCCGCTGTAGCGTTTGCACGACTGTGTGGCCCAAGGGCTATAGGCAGAGATATACACAACCCTAAACCCCAAAGGTGTGAGTCGGATCCGTTTATCCGTCAAAGTGGTAGTAAGTACAAGTGACTGGGGTTTGATTTTTATCACCACTGGAAGAATATGCAGGCGTCTATCAGTAGAAGGCGTAAAACTTAAGGCAGCGCAGATACTTGTAAAGCAAAGTCACTTATATTGTAATATATGGGTCGGAATAAGGAAAAACAAGCTACAGTATTGTTAGCCTTTGTATAAAAAATTTAAGGAATGTGTTTTTTGTCAGTATCAATTGTGGCAAGTACATAATCATGAATACTTGTGCAATAAAACTGCTGTATTATCCATTTTTGGTAATCATATTTTGTGTATATTTTTAACTACTTAAAGAGAGTGGAAGAATTCTACAACGAGAATCATTTAACGAAGTAAGAGGTTTTAACATCCATGATTAGCTTGGTGTTGTTCATTGTCACCTTTAACCCAGGCTAGCGTTCCTCGGTGCCTTTTAACAATGTCAGATACAAGCATTACACCACTTAACACATTTACAGCCAACAAAAAGTCAAGTCCCAAATCCGTCATCCTATGTCACAAATGGTCATGGCTTATGGGGCCTTGATAGACTCAGCCAGAAAAGGTCATGTAAGCGGTCACCTGGTGTAATTCTTGGTTTTTATAGAGTGAAAAGACAAGATCGTAATCAAATGTTTAAAGATGGCTACGAAGTAGCAGGAGATCTGGTGGTCCGGATCTTGAGACAGTTGCTCGCGTTACAGAACTAGGAAGAATCAGGAACTTGTCCATTGGAATAAGACGCAGGACATTGACCTTGAAGAGTTGACACTCAAGAGATTAAGACGATCGTAAGTCTTTTGTACGAGAGAAGAGTTCCGTACTTAAACGAGCGAGGAAGATAAGGCACGGGGGGGGGGTACTGTGGAAATTTGTCAAGTACTAGTACTTACGATATCGCTGAATTGTCCGTTCCATTTTCAGACTTAACTCTATACCATAGGTATCAAAAATGTATATTCTGGGCTCTTGTACCCTAGTATTACAACCAAATGACTTGAAATTCCTTGAAGGGTATATGCCCATAGATATCCGTTGACACATATGGTATGCACAACTCATAAATAATGTAGTTTTGGACTTTTTCGCTATTTTAGATTAACTCCATCTGGCATCGTCCACCTAAGGACGTTATAAAACACAAACCGTACGTATCGAAATCGAAGATCTCATACATCGCTGATATATTTCGAGTTTTTGTGGACATCTTGTTTTATTTACTTATTTTGAAATTCTCACTGCTAAAATTCTGCATGTGTACGTTTTCCCTCTAGCTTCCATAAGACAGGGATACATACAGCAGGAAATTGAGGGACCTTTCTGGGACTTCCTGTCAGTGTCCCCAACACAGACACCAAAATGTCCAAAGTGCGATCCGTTGACAGGCCGCCAGATGGTGGGTGGGGTTGGGTAGTGGTGATCGCAACGTTCTTCCTTAACATGCTGGCAATCGGGACCTTGAAGTCATTCGGAGTGTTCTATAGAGAGTTCCGGGAAGTTTTCCAGGAGAGTGCCGGGATCACGTCCTTCATCAGTTCTATCCTAGGAGGTGTTCTGTTCATGTGTTGTAAGTATCTGGAGATGTGTTGAAGATTGCTGATTTAAGCTTGATTGGTGAAAAATTTGGAAGATAATTTGACGCTACCAATAATCAGACTTATAATCATCTTGCAGCTGTGTTTGCTAGCAAGCTACAGTATTGCCTTTGCATACTCATGATGAGATCATCAGAACTAGTGAAAGCTGTTTAAAGGACTTATTTCACTGCAATATCATTGCAATAAAACTGCTGTAACCATACTTTGTGTATATTTTAACAACTTAAAGAGAGTGTAAGAATTCTATAACGAGAATCATTTAACGAAGTAAGAGGTTTTAAAATCCATGAATTGTTAATTGTCACCTTTACCAGTGTTCATCAGTGTCTTTTAACGATGTCAGATACAAACATTACACCACTTAATACATTTACAGCCAACAAAAAGTCAAGTCCCAAATCCGTCGTCCCATGTCAAAAATGGGTATGACTTAGGGGGCTTTGTCAGACATAGCCGGAAAATTTCTTGGTAACGCCTGGCCTATGGACAGGTTAGCTCAGGTAAGAGGTCACAAGGTGTCAGCCTTGATATATGGAGTGGAAAGGCAAGATCGCAATTAAATTTTTAAGATGGCTGCGAAATAGCTGGAGATCTGGTGGCCCGGATCTTGAGACAGTTGCGCGCGTTACAGTAACAGGACATTGACCTTGAAGAGTTGACACTCAAGAGATTAAGACGATCGTAAGTCTTTTGTACGAGAGAACAGTTCCGTACGTAAACGAACGAGGAAGGTAAGCACGGGGGAGGGGGTACTGTGGAATTTTGTCAAGTACTAGTACTTACTTACGATATCGCTGAATTGTCCGTTCCATTTTCAGACTTTACTCTATACGATAGGTATCAAAAATGTATATTCTGGGCTCTTGTACCCTGGCATTACAAACAAATGACTTGACAAATGACTTGAAGGAGTACTTTGGGCCCATAGATATCCGTCGACACATTTTGTATGCACAACTCAAAAATAATGTAGTTTTGGACTTTTTGGCTATTTTAGACTAACTCCATCTGGCATCGTCCACCTAAGGCCACACCGTCTTAATTTTATGGATGACATCCTCTGAAGACCCCCAAATTAGTGCGCGCGGGCGAATAAAAAGAAAATTCCAGCCAAAAATAAAAATGCTACTAAACCACAGGAATACAAAGCTGGTACTGCGGCATATATATTTGGTGTTTGCGGCAATACATAGCAACGTATACGACAAGCCGGCACATGCTGACTTTTTGCGGAATTTATGAATCTGCACTGTCCGTATGTACTGAGATCTTCAGTCGTGGAGCTTCGGTAGTCGATGTCGAGAGTAAGACTGACTAGCCGAGACTTCGGGACCGCCCAAGACCTTTCTAGCCTCCGCAGGCAGGCTTCTTGGCGGGTCCTTTTGCTTATCCTGTGCTGTTTTCTGATTGTACGCTAGTCCTGATACCGCAGTTTTAACAGTCATCTAGCCTAAAGATGTTTAGAAACCCACCACAATAACAACTGATACAAAACCAGAAAATAGCTCATGATTAGCAAAGAAAAACCGCCTAGAACCCTGTTTTGGAGGCTAAATTAGGTGTCGTATTCTTGGGTGGAACCTATAATTACTGATCCGAACATCAATTCTATCAAAGGAAAGGTCATTCAATGGTTTTAACAGCGATAACTTTAAGTCTAGCGTAAGATGTAAAATGACAGTTTATTAAAAGATAGAAATGTATTGTGAATCAGTGAGACATTATAGTGCACTTAACCATTTCTATTTCCTGTTGACAATTTTGTATAGATACGCTGTAAATTGTTTTAATTGTCGCAGTAACAGACAATCTTTTAAATTCTGTACATAACATTTTATATCTGTTTATTATATGTAAATATGTTTTAATCACGTCTATTTGAATTATTGTAATTGTCCTGACGCAATTCATCCGTTTTGGCTGCAATGTTTTGTGACATCAATGTTATTTAAATAAACCATTGATATATATTGTGTAGGTAATTTCCATTCAATTTTCTGTATTTTCTATCAAGGTATTCCTATGGCTTTTACGTGAATACAAAATCGGTACATTTGTCGACAAAGTATGTCTCTCGTCACCTCACCTCACCTCTCGTCACCTCACCTCACCTCAACTCAACTAACAAGTTAATCACTGAAAGTTAACGGCTGCGATTATTTGGGCGTTTCTTCATAACAGAACACCACTTAAATCCACTGAAAGGTCACGTAAGGATGACATCCTCTGAAGATCCCCAAATTAGTGCACGCGGGCGAAAAAAAAATTCCGACCAAGAATAAAAATGCTACTAAACCACAGGAATACGAAGCGGGTATTGTGAATTTGCGGCAGTGCATAGCGACGTATACGTATACGACAAGCCGGCAAATGCTGGCTATTCGCGGAATTTATGAATCGGCACTGTACGTACGTACTAAGGTATTGAGTCGTGGAGATTTGGTAACCTGAGTATCATCCTCCATAGTTACCTCCGGCTCCCTATTGTCGCTAACTACCATGGACTACCCAGGCCTAGAGCCAGGCCAGAGCCTCAGAGGGCGTGATCTTTTTTTTTTTTTGGACAACAGGCGAAATCAATGCGCGCGCGGATGTCATCCATAAAATTAGGTCGGTGTGGCCTAAGGATGTTATAAAACACCAACCTTACGTATCGAAATCGAAGATCTCATACCTCCGTGAAATATTTTTGAGTTTTTGTGGCATTTTGGTTTTATTCACTTATTTTTAATATCTCACTGCTAAAATTCTGCATACACATGTTTTCCCTCTAGCTGCCATAGGGTAACAGGGATGCCTGTAGCAGGAAATTGAGGAACGTTTTCTGGGACCTTTCTGGGACTTCCTATCAGTGTCCCCAACACAGACACCAAAATGTCGAAAGTGCGATCCGTTGACAGGCCGCCAGATGGCGGGTGGGGTTGGGTAGTGGTGATCGCAACGTTCTTCCTTAACATGCTGGCAATGGGGACCTTGAAGTCATTCGGAGTGTTCTATAGAGAGTTCCGGGAAGTTTTCCAGGAGAGTGCCGGGATCACGTCCTTCATCAGTTCTATTCTAGGAGGTGTTCTGTTCATGTGTTGTAAGTATCTGGAGATGTGTTGATAATTGCTGATTTAAGCTTGATTGGTGAAAAATTTGGAAGATAATTTGACGCTACCAATAATCAGACTTATAATCATCTTTCAGCTGTGTTTGCCGGTGCTCTGAGCAACCTGACCAGCTGCCGCACTGTG